ACACACACACACACACACACACACACACACACACACAATTAAATATTACTTGGCCATAAGAAAGAAGGAAATCCTGCCATTTACAACAATTTGGGTGGACCTTGAGGGTAGGTACTATGCTAAGTGACATAAGTCAGACAGAAAGACAAATACAGCAGGTCCTCGATAATATCATTTCATTCAATGTCATTTAGCTCTTGTTTATAGCAATTAGCTTATGGTGAAATTGGTCTCATTATAGTCCTTTCACTTAAAGTCACAGGCCCCACTGACAGCACTGTGTGAGGACTCACTGTACTGTATGATGCCCCCACATGTGGAATCTAAAAGAACCCCAAGCTCGTAGAAAACAAGATCAGGTTTATGGTTACCAAAGTTGGGGAATTGGATAAAGGTGGTGAAAAGATACAAGCTTCCAGTTACAAGACCAATAAGTCCTAGGGATGTAATGTACAGCATGACTATAGTTAACACTGCTGTATGGTATACATGAAAGTGAAGAAAGTATATCCTAAGAGCTCTTATCACAAGGAAAAAAACATTTTTTTTTCTTTTCTAAAATCCATGTGAAATGATAGATATTACCAAAACTTCTTGGGGCAATCATTTCACAATATATGTAAGTCAAGTCTTTATGCTGCATGCCTTAAACTTATACAGTGACATAAAACTTATGTCAATTATATCTCAATAAAACTGGATAAAAAGGATTTGGCATGCACGTGCCATGAAAGTAAAGGAAGATTCAGTGTTTCACTTGGGTTGTGGCATCCTGGGGGAGGGCAGTGAGGAACAAGCAAACTGTACCAAACTTAGAAGTTTTAAAACAACCATGACTTAGTATTTCTAATTGTTCAGGTTGTATCCACGCCATGCAAGTGCCCTGAACAACCTTGGAACACTGATGAGAGACACAGCAGAGGCAAAGGCGTACTATCAGAAGGCTCTGCAGCTAAATCCACAGCACAACCGAGCTCTTTTCAACCTTGGGAATCTCCTTAAGTAAGTAGAACGTGTACCTTTGATCAAACAGCCTTGTGATTCCCAGAAATCCTTTCCTTCTCAACGCTTACTTGGTTGTGCTGTTGTCTTCTCTTCCAAGAGTGGAACAATTAGGGATTTTGAGCTTTGGGAGGATGTAATATGCACCTGAATTAATTCTATCCCTTATCAGCCAAAAATAGTATTTTCCAGAGTGCCTTTATGTACGTGTTAGTCCCGGGAGATGTTCACAGATTGTAGAGAGGTGGGAATGGGGAAGGGTTACATGGTCAAATAAACTTATGAAACGCTGAGAAGAGAGTGCTTTTATTGCAAGAATCTCTAATATGCTAAATGTCCTGTGAATCCTCAAGAAGGGAATAAAATGCAGCATTTCCCAAATCAGTCTTTTTTACTAGGTTATTTCCCAAGTATTTCATGAATATACTTTGGGGAATGTGCTGGTGTAGGAAAAGCAGTTTGCTCTCACAGTGTAACCAAGTGACATAACCACAACACATGCCAGTTTGTACTATAGGTAAGAAACAAAGTGAGTTATACTGATTATAACTCATTATACTGATTATAGTGAGTAACTCTTGCTCTTAGGAAGACCTCCCTGACGTAATCACTTGTGTTGGCTTTTCCCTCACTGCCCTATAAAAGGTTAATAGTACAATTTGTGTCACAGAAAGAAGCCTAAAACAAAGGGGTACTTTTGCATCTTATTTTTTTATTAATATAAATTCTAAGCACACTGTTGATGGTAGTGGCAATGATAGCAGTGGCAATAATAGAGGTGAAAATGTTGGTGGTTATGGAATAAAATTTCTAAACTTAAAAAAAAGGTTGAACGTTAGAAATGGAAATTAAAAGGTGAAAATGGTTACATTCAGCTGTGGTGATATATTTATCTGTATTTGTTAAGATGCTGACAATTCACACATTACTGAATGACTCTAACCTTCTAGAGAGCACATTTCGTACCTTTAAGGCTAATGGTTTGCTTAGTTCTTTTATCCTCCCCTGATAGGATTGTCTCAGTTGCCTCAGTAACTCATCATGCACCTTCTTCCTGTTTGCTCCTTGAATTTTACATGTACATATAAGTCCCTTTCCCTAATGTTTGTGTTAATGCATGTTTTTATCTAATTCCATTTGAACAGAAGCATTGGGGTGAGTTCATCATAGAACAACCTAACAATGTATAAGGTGCCATCCTGAGCATGGAGTTTTATGTTTAGGAATGGCTTTATCCATACACTGGAACACAAAATCAAAGGACTACTACACACAATAAATAAATGCAAGGAAAGTATAATTACAATGGAAGAAATAAAAGTATAAATCAGCAAAAGCTAGATAAATTTAATTTTTCAAATTAGATAATTTATTGTTAAAACTTGATAAAAATCAAGAATGATGAAAAACAGTAAGAACGAAGAAGTAAACACTGTGAACACTGTGACAGAAAAGCCATTTTTAGTACTGGTAAGTAAGTTCCGTTTCAAAATCAGAACTGGGCTGGCCAAGTGGCTCAGTTGGTTAACAGCTCGCTTGAGTGCGAGCTCTGAGCAACAGGGTCACCGGTTCGATTCCTGGCCCAAGCTGAGCTGCCGCTGAGCTGCCAACAGGTGGCAGGATGGCTCAGCTAAACAAATAAATAAATAAATAAAAATAAGAACAAATCAAAAGTTGTGGGGAGAATGAAATCTAATTATTGTAGATAACTTCTTATAGGTCAATAAGGTGCTTTTATTGTACTCTACTATTTTCATGAGCTCTTATTTCTTTATGTGGAGTTCTAAGGACTAATTTTTTAAAGTCATTGTTGCATCTGCAAATGTCCTAATTTAGGGCCCAAATAACTTAATGTCTGGATAAGATCCTGTCAAAGTCTTTTGGGTACCTGGATTATATAGTACTAATTTCAAAAATCACACAGATGAGTATTTTTTCCCCAAAAGACAGCTTTAATTGCCTGTATATGAAATGATGTTTCTTGTTAGGAGTGATCTCCTGACATTATGATGATCATGTTGTGGCTGGATGTGGCTCTACTTGAAAACGATAGTAGAGACTCTTTTAAATATCATCCTGACAGGACCTGAGCAAGAGAGAACACTCTAACCTTCTTTTTTGGATTCACATAGGCTTGCCACTATTATCTTGGATTAGTATATGTGATTTAAAAGTATAAGGAAATACTTTCTGGAACATGGCAATGGCTACTTTTCACAGCAGGAGGGACTCCTGAATACCTAACATAGAAACTTTCCTCTCTTTTTCAGTAAAATCAACTCTTGATGATTATCTGAACCAACAATAATGATTTACATTTATATATGTAAGACTCTAGTTTTCTGAGTGCATTGTTTTTTTTTTTAAGCATCCCTTTCAATGACTAAAGTAGATGGGAAAGAAGAGGAAACCAAGGTCCTGGGGGTTAAGTGCCTTTACAGCACCCTTGTTTACCTTCTGCTCTTTCACATTACACCAGAGAGCGGCCATATCGGGGTAGGTTATTCTTAGAATCCAGTAGAAGAAAATCATCATAACAGCTAACATTTATGTAATACCTTCCAGTTTACAGATAAGTGTTTTTATATCCATTATTTAATTTAATCTTTAAAACAGTCTATTGTGAGACGTGTTATTATCCTCATCCCCATTTTACAGATGAGGAAACCAAGGTTCGGAGATCTCATGTGCCTTGACTTAGGCTGTGGCCTACCCAAGATTGATTCCTGTCCTATTTATTTTCCATTACCCATGCTGCCTAGACAGCTCTCCTATCCAAAAATTACTTAATATTTAGCCATTTAGTGGCAGGTGATTGCCTTCCTGTTTTTCTTAAGGAAACACTAAAGTTTGTTTACATTATATTCCTTAGTAACGAGAAGTGACCGAGAAAACAACAGAGCTAATCCACATTTAGATAACGCTGAGTTTTAGTTTTGTTTTCCTTAGTTTATTTCTTCTACTAAGTAGCTATACATCAAAGGCTAAAAGAAGGTAATATTTTAAATTTGGTTTGATTTGATCCATTTTACTATTTAAGATGTACGCCCTATTTATTTCTCGCTAGGCAGCAAACTTTTTTAAATTGTGCCCTTTTCTATAAGCTAGAACTTAATGCTCATTCTAAGAACCCAGGTTATCACTTTAGATATGAGCAGTTTGGAGAAGCAATGTGCCAAAGTCCCTTAGTGAGGAAATATTGTAGAAGATGGAATTGAACCTAGATCCATCTAACCTGGTACCCTTGCCGTTCACCACCACACTCGACTGCCCTCTTGTGGCTCCTATCAAAACTGGAATACAGCCTAGAGCAGTGCTGCCCAACAGAAATAAGAGAGCCAGAATCTGTGATCTAAAATTTTCAGGTAACAATATGTCGAAATATTAAAATGGTGGAATTAATTTTAATAAAATATTTTATTTAACCCCACTATATCCAAAATATCCTTTTAACGTGTAATTAATATTAAAAATTAGCTTTAAAGTCAAACATGTAAAAATATTAATGAGATAGGTGTGCATTGTTCTTTATGATTTATCTTTGAAATCCAGTGTATGTTTTCCACTTACAGTACATCTCAGACTAGTAATATTTCAAGGGCTCAATAACCACATGTGGTTAGTAGCTGCTATTGTACAGCTCAGACCTTTATTAATGACCTTGACTTTGAGAGAAATGTGAGTCTTTGTCCAGGCCAAAAGCTCTAAATAAGATGTGATTCTTTCAGACCATCTCAGAAATCTTATAGCACTGAGGACAAATTTCATTTGGATTCTTGAAATTATATGACAGACAGCTTTAGATTTGTTCATAGCAGTAGACTTCACTGAGTGTTACCCAAATATATTTGGCATCTTTCAAGACCATTTCATTAGACTTTAAAGCTAATCTATTATGATTCTGTGCAGCACATTTATAGTGTGACAGATTGATAAGGAACAGCTTTCTATGCCAGCATTCTTAATTTATATTAATTATTGTTGGCCTTGCTTGAAACCTAAAATGTAAAAGAAAATAGGCAAGATTAGCATAAACTTTTCATGGATGGAAAGACCATAAGTCCCTAATGGCTCAAAAATATATAATAGAATATTTAAATTCAGGGCATCGGAAAATATTTCTTTGACTGCTTGGGTAAAATAATTGCTGGTGTTTGTTACTGAAACAGAATATGAAAAGAACTTCCTAAAGAATCATATACTTCCCTCATTGCCAAAACTACCTTCCACTCACGATAAGATAGAGGTGTTATATGAGTGTTACAATAAATCTTGTAATCAAAACTGAGAAGAAAATGCAATGTCCAATAATTGAACTATATAGAAGATGAATTTGGTAACAGCATACATTTGATTTTCTTCTAGAAAATTGAATCTCTAGAGAGTAAAAGTACACAGAAAGAAGGGTAACCATTACTTTGAAATAAATTTAAATGTTAGTGATAAATTTTCTTATAGCTTTGGCACTGGTTATACCACCTTTTATTTCATAAAAAGGAAGTTTATACACTCAAGACAGTTTTCCCCTTCTCTCTCTTTTTAAAAAAATTTTATTGGGGAACAGCCATGGTCATTGGTTACACATTGCTTTCATGCTACAATGGCATAGTTGACTCTTTTAAGGAGGGCGCAGCTCACGGTGGCCCATGCAGGGATTGAACTGGCAACCTTGGTGTTATCAGCACCACGCTCTAATCAACTGAGCTAACTGGTCACTCCCCTTCTCTACTTTTTAACTGAAGCCCCAAGGAATCCAAAATGCTAGCCTACTGGATAAAGAAAGACGTTTTGAGGTTCCTCCCACCACATTAGGATGTCAACTTTGAGTGGGCAAGTTCTGCATCCTCTCCTTGGAGTGATATGCTACTCCCCACCCCCATGGTGACCTACTAGTATCCGGATTACCTTCAACTTTGCTTATCTGTACTTATCTGTAGTCTCAACCTATTACAGTTTCTCCCCCTTACCTTTATCCAACTCATACCCATCTCTCTCCAGGT